TTTGACCTACCAAGGAATTTCTAGAGGGTGATGGAAGCAGTGGCGGAACCAGGGAGGGGGCAACAGGGAAATTGCCACCCTCCCGAGGGGAGGGAGAGAGGACCCGGGAGCTCAGCCTGCAGCTCCTCCGGGTCCTCCTCTCGCGAGCATGGAGCGTTGCCGCGGTTACCACGGCAACGCTCCAAATCTTGCGAGAGTGAACTCTAGCCCTGGAGCTCACCACTGGGACCACCAGGGACTAAGAAATGTCCTCCCTCCTTCCAGTAAAGGTAAGAAGGGAGGGGGGACATAAATATATTTATTTTATTAAATACATTTTTTTTTATTTATTAAAAAGCCTCCCTACCCTCCTCCCCCCCATACAAACACTGCCCCCCATACACACACTACACACACTGCCCCCATACACACACTGCCCCACAAACACTGCACCCATACACACACTGCCCCACAAACACTGCGCCCCATACACACACTACACACACTGCCCCACAAACACTGCCCCTCATACACACACTACACACACTGACCCACAAACACTGTCCCCCATACACACACTACACACACTGCATCCCATACACACACTGCCCCACAAACACTGCCCCCCATACACATACTGCACACCCATACACACACTGCCCCACAAACACTGCCCCTCATACACACACTGCACACCCATACACACACTGCCTCACAAACACTGCCCCACCCATACACACACTGCCACCCATACACACATTGCCCCCATACACAGATTGCCCACACACCTACAGTGCCCCCATACACACACTCCTCCAAACACACATACAGTGCCCCCATACACACACTGCCCCAAACACATACACTGCAAGCCTCACACACACACACTACAACTCTCACACACACTGCACCGCTCACACACACACACACACACACACTGCACCTTGCACACACACTTCACCCCTAACACATACCACTGCTTCTATGCCCTATATCCCAGCAGACCCCAGGTAAGTTGCCAAACTGTTCTTAAACGGTTTGACTACTTACTCTGGGATGGGATCCTGGCACTACTGGCATCATAACTACTACACTGAGCTGTAGTGGTTATTGTACCTGAATTATTTCTTTAAATAATCTACAAGTGCCCCTCCCGAGATCAGGCTCTGGATCTGCCACTGGATGGAAGGGGCATTTACAGTCTCTCCGCAGAGATTCTGCCTACTGAATTGGAGTACTGGCAGATAATTTTTTTCCTCTATTAAAGAAAAATCTTTCAATTATTCTTGCTGATAGTGTGGTAATATGGGTTATTTCATGTGATGTACATCCCCCTTTTTTATAAAGGCTTGAAAATAAACTGCCAAGAGTGCTACATATCCTTAAAACCTGCTCCCTTGCTGTGATAAACTTTCCAATTATAGTTTAGTATATAAAAGGAGTAAACATTCAATAATCAATATATAAATGTAAACTGAGCATAAACTGAGCATAGTTACAAAAGTAATTGGCATTTCCATAGAATTAAATGTCTTGATCTTTTTATCCTCCAATAATTTACCTCTAGTTCTGTACTTCAAACAGGGACGAAATTGAAATAAACAAAAACATTTATATAACCCAATACAGATATCTTTAACTGCAAATAGTACACTTAACCTTACAGTCACTTCGGAAAAAATATTATTGGTGTTTATTTCTACAGAAGACTCAGGGGGACAAATATCTAAAAGTGGTCAATTTCCATAGAAAATGGTACGTTATTTTCCACAGATAATAAGTTTGTTATGTAAATGACATGATCAGAACTGTATCGTATCTACAAAATATTGAGCATTTATTAATGTCTTCAACATAAAATGTTTTGTTTCCTTCCCTGTGGTTTTCAAACCTTTTCTCTATGCAAATTAACATAATCCCACAAAAATAGTATAGCAATAGATATGGGATGGTATCTCTGGGAGAATAGATTTTACATATGCTGTGAGAAATACCCCCAGTTTATGGATCTTATGCTCATATCAGTCCACTATCTAATGCCTCTAAAATTCAATGGCATTACTTAAGTGTTCACAGTAATTATGTGATATTTTGGAGTAAAGATGAATCAATCCCATACATTCCTACCTTTATTTAAATCAACCAATTGTCATAAAACCACTTCTTGATTGTTTACTAGCTGTAATGCTTTCTATTGTTTTTATCTCTTAATGTGTTCTGTCTTGCATTGTCCACTACTGATCTGTTTTGCTGTGGGTGCTCCTGGGAGAGAAGGCAATTGGTCTCTCTCCCTAGCGGCAGGAGTTCCTGGGAGTGGAGACAGCTGGTCTCTCTCCACAGTGCCAGTATGTGCTACAGTCGGTCTCTCTCCCCAGCTACAGAAATTACCAGGAGTGGAGACAGCCAGACCCCTCCCCAGCAGCAGCCAGAGCAACCGAAAGTGGAGACAGATGGTCTCCCTCCCCACTGGCAGTGTGTACTACAGGGAAAGGAGATGCTCGGAGGACTATCTGGGGATGCATGACATATGGGGGTGCTCAACTATATTATGAGTGTTTTGGGGTGTTTTATGTTTTACATTTTATGTTAGGCACTCTGTATCCGGGAGACAATTTGTTTAGTGGTCAGCATCTCAATTATCTCCCAGACACAGAGACGCCGGGGCGGGCTTATGAAACACGTGACATATGACACATTCTATGACACATTATTTGTCATCTAGTGTTTGGGTAGAAAGCTGGGATTATAGCATACTTGGAGAAAATGTCATTAGAGCTATCACACTATCCTGTTCCATGAAGGAAAAGCTTCAGAAGGACCCCAGTCAAACTTCAGTGACTGGGGCAGATCCGCGCTTTAGGTTACCCGGTTCCAGCTAGGAAGTGATCCTGGCAGAGGTACCCAGCTGGGTTACAGGGAGCTCCACTACAGACAAAATCTGTCCTAACTGAAATGCCAAATGAACAAATCCAGAATCAACTGAATTTTTTTTTCGGTCAAACCAAATTTTAGACTTGCACATGTCAACATACAATAAGATTAAAGAATAGTCAAATACGGAGGTAGAATAAATTATGTATCAACAACCTTACTACTTAAGGTTACCTTATCAGATGAAGAACTATAATAATAATGATATAAAACCACAAAGTATAGAGCCTAAATGAAGGGGGTCGAGCTGAACAAAAAAAAACATATATCAGGCTAATTGACAATAATATATCACGGTTCTCACCATGCCATTCAGATGGCCAGGCATGGTTGCCCCTAAGGGCAGTGTCAGTTCGTTGTTTCTTGTTTTTTAATTAAATTGATTAAGACTGACTTGGCTTGTGACCCCTGCTTCTGGATCTTCTTTATTGCCTGTTCGCTGCCTGCCCTGACCTTTGAAACTGTGTCTGACTATTCTTCTGGATTTGCCCTTGTGTGTTTCCTCATACTTGGTTACTGTTCCTGCCTAAGCCCCCGATCACAGATTCATGGTTACCGTGGGCTGTGTTTATCTGCAAGGGTTGGACTGCAACTAAGGTAAACTTTGACATAATACAACCAGGTTCAGAGGAGTGTGCAGCCAGCAGGATCCAAAAGACTTCAGATTCATAGTTAATTTGAAGTAGCCCATGAAACAAAGAGTTTCTAGGTGGACCAGATCTTGTTTTATGAAGCAACGGTGTCATGTAATCTGGAAGTTAGTTCTGCCATCCTATAAATATAGTCTATCTTACAGTGAGAATTTCCATGTGTGGCATGGTAGTTTTCCACTTTTTGGCTGCCATGCAGCAGTATAGATATAACAACATAGTTCCAGATAGTGTGCAATGAAATGAAGCTGGGACAGTCTTCCATTCGGTAGGGCTACAACAGGATCACTTGCCAGATCTGTTTACAACACATATTTAATCAGGTCAAAAACTTCAGACCAGAAAGGTATAAGCCTGGTGCAACTCCACCACATATGATAATAAATACCTTTTTCACCACATGTGCAAGAGCAAAGTGGAGACAGACCAATTTATATGTGGTGTAAATTGATTCAGTCAAAGTACCATCTTGAAGTACATCTAAAGCTGTTTTCTCTAAACAACTTATTTTTTTCATTTTAATTGCTGTGTTTAGCATGAAAAGCTGTGTTGATAAAGGTCCAGTGACTGCAGATTGAAACATAGTCAATTTAAAAAAAAAAAAAAATGAATAGTAAAATTAAATGTTTAGATTTAAATACAGCAGCAGTTCCCAAATGTTCATTTGACAAAGACTCGTGTTTATTTCAGGGGTTTGACAAATAGGACATCAAATCCCTAAGGAATATGCAGGTAGGAACTGAACAGCTACTGAAGACATTTCAAACATGATAATGCAATTAGAATTATGCCCTTGACTGCATTACCCAATACATTCCACCATTCTGTGCTACGTCTGAATCAACCACATGTCCATTCTATTTTTATACAAATACGTCAACAAATATTCCATTTACCTAAGCAGGGACATTGACTAGAGTTAATACTAGGAGAAAACACAGTAAAATTAAATATATCTTCAGAAAATAATTGTTAAAATTTTACTGAAAGTTTATTTATTTTACATTCTTTATTTTTTGTATGAGGAGAGTAAAATACAAGTGTATGATACGTTGGCAAGGCAAAAAAAATGAAAATGAAACATAACATGTTAAAACACGGTGCATGCATAATATAACGGTAGTTTAGCAAATACGTAAGATTATTAATAGATTAACTAACTATGAAATAGCTAGTTGTAAGTCCCACATAAAAGAAACGTAAAATGAAATTCTCACAGAAGTTCCATAAGAACAGATAGTTCCATAATCCAGCTATGATTTCTGCCTATGCCCTACTGGGCCCAGGTGTCAGACCTAGAAACCCACATAAGGGTAGAAATGTCATCACAGTGTGCTAGTTAGTTATAGGGGTCTGGCAGGTTCCTCTGTATCGCTTCGAGACCCAGCGAGATGTAGGGTACTGGTTAATTACTTTGCAGTGTTCCAATGGGTCACATACCAAGATGGGTTTCCAAATGTGTTGTCGCACAACTCTGGCCCAATCATGAGAGGCTCCATTCACCTCCCTTAAGGTCTCAATCTGTAGGCTCTTGGCATCAGTAGGTTTGCACGATGCTGCGAATCCCAGGTGTGCTCTCGGCCTGTCCCAGAAGGCTTTAAATATTTGCTTCATTTGCTGCAGGACGTCACCGTGATATCCATTAGGGTTTAGGGAAGCACTAGACGTTCGCCATCTTGCGTACCTACATTACAACGCTGTTCCGAAAGTTATGCCACGTGCCCCCAACACAGAACAGGAGCCTAAAGAGGTGCAAAAAGGGGAAATGTGAGGGGGTTTGGGGCACAAAGCAGCTGCACAATACAGGAGTGGGTATTGGCTTACTCTCCATTCCCTCAGTGTCACATCCTGTTTCTGGCTGCGGATCATTTCTGGCAATGGCTTCTGGTATCCAGTACTCTTTTTACAATTCTTGTTTAGTTTTTCTTGGTTTTCTTTATGCTGGGTTTTCTGGGTTCATTCCTGTATTCCGTTCCTGGAATTCCCAGTCTCTTGGATTCCTTTAAATGTTTGTTTTTTTGTTGCCACAGCCGTTCCTTTGCCATTAATCCTTTTGTTTCAGTTGGTTCTTGCAGGCAGTGGTTTCATGTCCTCTGCCTCTTTCTTTGCAGGTAAGTACTGTGTGTGTTTTATTATTGTTTATTTAGGCATGCATATCTAGGCAGTTAGAACCCACCGTAATTGGAGTACTTTGGCTGCATACATCTTGGCCATTTATGTATGTCTAAATCTCCAATGTTTATTGCACATATTAGTACTTAGTTATGTCTCCTCTTGTTTTGCCTTGTATCTCTTGTCTTGTTTTATTTTGTCTTGTATTCCCAGTTCATGTACAGTCTTGTCATGTCCTGCCCTATCCTGCCCTGTTCATGTTTTCCTTATGTATTGTGTACATGTTCTGATTTCTGTCCTTCTTCGGTTCTGGGTTTAGTCATACTGAGTCCCAGTCACAGGACCACCACCCCTGACACTCAAACGCTCAGGGCCTCCAGGCTAACACACAGCCCCCGTCAGCATAGATATCCGGAGACTACAAGCAGGCTCTCAGGATTAACCCCACACAATGCAGGAATACCGCAAAAGTAAATAGCATTGTCAATGGGGTATGATTGCAAGATTAATGCTCGTTTTAGGAGGCCAAGAGTTGGAGCACCCTTGAGATGTGTCCGACCAGTATGACAGTCCGGTCCTGAAAGTTTATTTTTTCCGCTTCTCCATAAATCTAATTGTTTTATTTTATAGATTTTATTTTCCGTGATAATGTTAAGAACAGAAAAATTACCTAAAATAGGATGGGTTCTAAATTAATGAAAATGTTTTACTTCGTTACTTTAATAGGTTTAAGAGATTCAAAGATTAACATGGTGATTTCTTTTTGCCCTGAGAGTTATTATTTAGTGGCAGAAGCTGTAAATGTTGCACTGGGTAAAATGAATGAAGAGTGAAATACAAAGTAAAGCAGTGCAGATGGTAAGAATGCAAATAATGACATTGACAGCAGATACTGCCATAAGGAAAAATACATCAGCGAAAGCAACGGGAGTTAGTGGGAGTTAATGAGAATGGGAAGATCAACAAAAACTGGAGCCATATTGTTATAGTGAAATAAGGGACATTTCATACACGCTGACTTCCTGAGAATGAATATGTAATTTTTGCTTCTTTGTAGTATGTTGCCCATTACAGGAAAATGTTGCAACTGATAGAACTAATCAAGATATGCTTTCCATGTTCAAACAGCAGCCGGTGAATCTTGGCAAAGTTAACTCATGCACGTCTGTACATGCTTGTTTTGATTCGCGATTTGGAAGTTAATTTCTGGCACTAGAATAAAAGGGAGGTGGAATGAAGAAGATATTGTATTTTTTTTTTTTTGTGGGCAAGTGGGGGCTTTAAGCAGTTTAGCTTGCCATGATGAATAAAACGTCTGCACAATCTACTGTCCAATCAATAGGCAATAGGTAGTAATAAAAAAGATAATTGATGGTTAGGAGCAACCATAGTTCATTTTATTCATAGATCAAGTAACAATTGATAGGGAATAAAGGTGGAGCAGTAATACAATATATAGTTCTAAGCATGATTATACCAGACAGTTTAAATGCAGCTGTTGAGAGAGACAGCAATAATACTATGTGTTTTACCCCTGCTGTTACTGTGTGTTTGTGGGAGATAGCCTTGGTTATTGATTCTAGTGTGAGGCTAGGTTAAATTTACTGCTGTATCTAACTAGCTAGCTACTGCCAGTGGCACATTGAGTGGGAGATATGAGATTGTCATTGTGTCAGTGATTCTAGTGTGAGACTAAGTTTAACCCCCTTGTGACCAGGCCATTTTTTTCTTACCGTTAAGGACCAGGGCTCTTTTTACATTTCTGCGGTGTTTAGCTGTAATTTTCCTCTTACTCATTTACTGTACCCACACATATTATATACCGTTTTTCACGCCATTAAATGATCTTTCGAAATATACCATTATTTTCATTATTTCATATAATTTACTATAAAAAAATATAAAATATGATGATTTAAAAAAAATAAAATAAATAAATACACTTTTTCGAACTTTGACCCATCATGTGTGACATGTCATTATTCCCTTTTATTCCAGAAGTTTGGTCCTTAAGGGGTTAAAATCTGTTACGCATCTACAACCCTGTGCTAAATAGTTTATAAATTTTGTCCTGAGTTTATAAATACCCAATGTTAACATGTTTTTTTGGAAAGTTATAGGGCTATAAGTACAAGTAGCACTTTGCTATTTCCAAACCATTTTTTTCCAAAATTAACGCAAGTTACATTGTAACACTAATATCTGTCAGGAATCCCTGAATAACCCTTCACATGTATATTTTTTAAAAAGAAGACAACCTAAGGTATTAAACTTGGGGTATTTTGATTCTTTTCATGCAATCATTTTTCCACCAATCAATGCCGAATTAAAAAAAAAAAAAAATTGGTGATTTTTTTGACACACATAGCAATTTAAGAAAATATGTACTAAGAACTTTAAGGATTACTGCCAAGGAACACCCCAATATGTATTCAGCAACATCTACTGAGTACAGTGATCCCTCACATGTATAGGTGTGTCGGGTTCACTAGGGGCTAAAAGACCTTATTTGGAGGGTGCACGTTCCAGTTTTCCAACTTGAAATTTTCACAGATGGTTGTCCTATTTGTGATATTTTTTAAGCCAGCCAATGTAATTTACCCCCATCAAACCATATATTTTTGAAAAGTAGACACCCTAGGGTATTCAAATGGTGGTATTTCAACACTTTCCATGCACTGATTCTACCACAAGTCTTTGTCAACCTTTTGGGTAGTCATTTTTTATGTTATTTTTCTCTCACATTGTACTTTAGGCATGTATTCTCAGTTCCTGTTATGCATTACTGACAAAGAACACCCCAATATGTGTTCAGCAACATCTCCTGAGTATAGTGATACCACCCATGTATAGTTGTGTTGAGTTCTATGGGGGCTAAAAGACCTTATTTGGAGGATGCACATTCCAGTTTTTACAAACTTGGAATTTTCACAGCTGGTCACCATGCACCCATGTCCTATTTGGGACATTTGTGAAGCTGGCCAATGTAATTTACCCCCATCAAACCATATATTTTTGAAAAGTAGACACCCTAGGGTATTTCAAATGGTGGTATTTTATCACTTTCCATGCATTTATTCTACCACCAGTCAAACTTTTGGGTAGTAATTTTTTTTGTGTTATTTCTCTCTCACATTGTACTTTAGGCATGTATTCTCAGTTCCTTTTATGTATTACAGACAGAGAACACCCCATTATATGTTCAGCAACATCTCCTGAGTATAACAGTGCCCCAATGTACAGGTTGTATGGCTTTTTGCAAATATACAGGGGTCAAATGTTTGTGTTCAGCTATGTCTCCCGAGTATAACAATATCCCCCATGTACAGGTTTTATGGTGTTTTGGAAAGTTACAGGGTCAATATAGGGCTTGCCCAATTCAGTTTGCCAGATTGGTTTGCTGGGTCTGTGTTGCCTTTTGAGAACATATGGTAGCCCAGGAATATTTTACCAGGATGGATTCATTGAGGTTTCTCTCATTTTCAAGTATGCCCTGGGTCCTTACATATATAAATTTAATACATAACAGGTAATAAGTATATTCAACCATGATAGGTGCATTCTGTGCTGAGGTATATTGCCATAGATCTCTTAAAATATTTTAGATTGAATGAAGATTTGACTTTGTCTCTGAGGTTATTCCATAATTGTGGTGCTCTGTAGGAAAAGGAGGATCAAGCCACTTTATTTTTGTATTGTGGTATGCTAAATATTGTGCTAGTACTGGATCGGAGGTTATAGGAGGTTGGAGCAGCCGGGGAGAGCATTCTACTCAGGTAGGGTGGGAGCTTCCTAGAAATGCTCTTATGCACAAGGTTGGAAAGATTAAAAGTGCATCAGGATTCCAGCGACAGCCAGTTTAGCTCTTTTAACATGTCACAGTGGTGGGTAAAATAATTACATTCTAGTACAAAGCGGCAGAATGAATTATATAACGTATTAAGTTTAGTAAGGTGGGTTTGCGGAGCAGGTGCGTACACTACATTATCTGTCTACATAGCTAGCAATCAGGGGCACTTAAAACAACTTTAAAACTGAGATATAAGATTGTTATTGATCCTAGTGTGAGACTAGATTTTGGGTACTGGGGATTTCATCTACCACAAATGTGCAAAATATTTTTTCATCCATAAACAAATTGATTAGTCTGTATCAAAGCCTTTCAATCCATACCCAAATGAATGGATCCATATGGGAACTAAATTGACAAATTAATTCATTTGGATGTTGATTCAAAGGCTTTTGATTTTGATGGATTGATTGGTTTAGTAATTAATTTTTTTAGCTACTCATAAAACAGCCTTAGGTAGGAGATAGAAAATGCCCATTTTGTCATTGATCCCAGTGGGAAACTAGGTTACTAGTTTGCAGGGTTTTTAGTTTGTAGAAAAAAAATCTTGATTTGTGGAATGTGTTCGGCAAAAGAAAAAACTTTATTCTGGTCTCTACTGCCATAGTTGCACTCACACAAACTTTGAGTGATAGCCTGCTTTACTCATCCT